AACCCTACCTAAGTATATCTCGAGACACGCGACCACAAGTCGTTTTACCACGTTCGTGTGCTTCGTGAAAGACAGCAGCATCCCTCTCTTTATGCAACTTTTAGGAAATTTCTTCTCGATCGGCATTTGAACGCTTTCATAACGCTATAGAATTGGAAGTAATTATGAAAAGAAGAGGGTAAAGGGAGAGGCTAAAAAGGAATATACTATAGATAATAAAACGCAGCAAAGGAATAAATGCTGCCGACTTAATTTGCTTTGTGACCTAGCATTCTTGGTGCAAGAGCAAACGTGTAGATATAATCGCCGTCGGTTGGATATTCAAATCTCGGTTTTATTCGTTAAAATAAAACCACTCTTTAATCACGACTCGAGGTAGATCGAAGACGGATAATTCGCTCGGGATTCGTCTCCCTTCTTTTTTATTTCAAGCTCGCTATTCCACACCGGGCAGCCATTTTCCATCTTTCCCCGCTTCGTCTGGTCCATGGCTAAAGGAGTGCTGGAGTCAAATCGAGAGCCAATCAATACCGATAATTAATTAGAAAAATCAGAGAAAAAACTTGCGAAACTCAAGAGTTAGGGGCACCGTTGGAAAAACTGCCGGCGGCTTTCGTTTGACTCAACTCTCCCTTCGGAGAGGCTTCCACCCCGCCGAAGGACTCCCGTTCAACCTCGAGAGCCTTCCTCCTCCTCCTCCTCCACCTCCACCTTCTCTCCTTTGGCTTTTCTTCTTCTTCTTCTTCTTCTTCTTCTTCTTTTTCGTCTTCCGATCCTCATTCATTCTTTCTTTCTTTCTTTCGTTCTTTCTTTTTTTCTTTTCGTCTTCTACTTGGTCCTAGGCTGTCCTTCTAGGTAGGGGGTAGAATGCGCGAGTCCTCTCTTAGCATTGAATAAATTAACGTTTTTAGTTTGCCAATATCTCCCTCCGTCCACCGAAATGAATGAAACTCGTTCCCTTCTTTTCGCCATTACTTTGCGATTTCCAAGCTTACTCGGTTCATCGCCGTCGCCAACACCGCAGCCGTCTTCATTCAACTGTGAACATTTTCGTGGAATTTTAATAACTTGCATTCGTACTGATTAAAACGAAACTTGTGTCCCTCGTTTGTGAACGAACAAGTTTTCGCCTATTTATTTCACTTTTAGACTGGGCGCCCATACTCTTGCGTTTAAAAAGAAAATCTACAAAAGTTAACAACAACAACAACAACAACAGTCGATCGTTTGGAAAATAGCTCATGATCGGTTAGTCGTGTGGTACTTTTACTTACTCTTTACTCATTGTCCAGTATCAATTTATCAAGCAGAGCCGGCCTTCCTCTTCCTTCTTTTCTCTCGAGACCATCGTCTCGATCCTCGTCGTCGTCACCTACCACCCTCCTGTTATTCCGCAAACCCAACTGTAATCCGGACGCCTAGCAAATATTATAGAATCTTTCATCGTATAATAGGAGAGAGAAAGTGACCTTTTTTTTTTTATTATTTATTCGTGTCGTTCGAAGCTAGGTAAATCTTGTCAACTCGATTAGGACGCGCGCATCTTTCTTCATCGATATTAATCTTCAAAGTCGACGAAGCTTTCGGGTATTCGAGTCGTGTGGAAATTCTCCTACGATTGGGATTACATCGGTCCAACGCGATAACGCGTCTCTATGTGCGTTTGACATAGCGTTTGATCAAGGAAACTCATTAAACAACGCGTTTGTTCGTCTCGCGTCAAAGTGTTTCGAGTGTAGGCAGATTCACGTAAATAGATGACAATATAAGTTTGACCACGTGCCATTTTTATCATAGAAATAGGTTAGAGCAATAACTTTGAACGAAATATGTTCGATGTATCGATCTACGTCCCTCGTAGACCGGAAACAATGAAAGAATTCGTAGGGAGTGGAAAAAGTTCAGGGTCAAGCGGCGTTGACCTAGCAGTAACCCAAAGGAAGAACCTTTCCCTCTCGGCGATACTTGCGCGGGTCAGTTGACCTTAAACACATATAAAACGCAGGACATAACCGGATACCGAGAGAAAAGTTTTCTACCGCCGGTGGTTGAGATCGCCACGGCGAAAAGGAAAGGGAGCGAAAGGGAGAGAAAGGGAGAGAAAGGGAGAGAAAGGGAGAGAAAGTGGAGGGGATTCCCCAGACAGGGAATGAGAGGGAGAGAGAATGATAGACCAAGGGAGGGGTTGGGCAATAAAATCAAGCGTCGAGGCTACAACCCTTCCGCCGGAGTCGAGTCGTAATCTCTTCCTTGGTGCCGGAGGGTGAAAGCATACGAGATCTCATTTTCTTTTTCATCTGTGTAATTAATTAGCATTAAGGTGTCGAGTCGCGAAAGTCGTGCGTTAAATCTATGACATAGCGCCAAGACGTCCATAGCGTTCCTTGGCCTATTTTGTTCTCTTTCTCTCTTCCCTCTTTCTCTCTCCCCTCTCGCCCCTGTGCCTACTATTAGATAGAAATAGTAGAGAAAATGGTAGTCGCGGCTTGGTACACAGGTTAGATCGGTTCGCAGAGCGACGACCTTTCTTCGTTATCGTGCGATTCATAGAGGAGAAAAGCTTTCTCCTAAAAGGAAAAAAGTATGCTGGAGGTGCTGGGAGTATCTTAATTACCGGTCTACGGGTCTCGCGATAATAGTTTACGAAGGTCGACGGAAAGCCCCTTCCTTTCTGTCGCTTTTTAAATAATTCCGTCACGACTTCCGTCAGTACCGTTGTTTACCTCATAGCCGAAAGGAATTACACTGAGTTGAAATTACAAGGAAAAATAAAAAAATCAAATAAAATGAGAAAAAAAAACACAAAAAAAGGAACAGAGGAAGAAAGAAGAAGGGGGATAAAAAAAAGTGGTGGAGCTCGAGGTCCGTCGAGCGTTTTTAATCCCGGACTTTTCCCCTTTAAAATTTATAAATGCTTCCAGCGGGTAATTGCAGGACCCGGTGGAAGTAAATGCACGTGAATGCAGAGGCGAAATTCGTCTCGTTGGTCGATTCCGTACCGATGGAAGAGTTTCGTAACGAGAGAGGGTAGGCAGAGGAAAGCGGAAAGGAGGGCTAGTAGCTAGTACAAGTAGTAGTAGTAGTAGTAGTAGTAGTAGTAGTAGCAGCAGCAGCAGCAGCAGCAGCAGCAACAGCAGCAGAAGCAGTAGCAGTAGTAGTAGCGGTAGTAGTAGTCTCCTTGCCTGGTCTGCGCTTGCTTCAAGAAAATTAAGTACTGCCTACAGTAATTTGAGGTATTGATTTTTATAGTTTCTCTCGGTAGGCATACATTAAGATCTCCTCCTCTCTTTGTCTCCCGTCTCTTATTGTTTCTCCTTTCATTTCTTCTTTTTTCTTCTTTTCCTCCTCCCTGTTCTCTCTCATCCCTTCCGTTCGGCAGAGCATTCTGAGGGTTAATTCGCGAAGACGCGATGGTACTGTGTAACTCTTTATCCTCGAGCTTCTATTTTCGATCAAGTACGATGCAAAGACACTCTTCAATATCAAGAAATTGACTTTAATCCTCGAGTTGCGTCGATTTCGATCTTCAAAACGAACAGAGTGCTAAGAGACGCGAGAAACGCAACTTGCTTACAAAAGTGTTCCAAAGGAAAGGAACTTGGAGAAAGATTGCTCTCGCTCCCTTTCTCTCTTTCTTCCTTTTAACGACGAGATAAAGAAGCGAATACACGGAGAAGAGGGAGCGAAGAGGGAGAGTGGAGGGAGGAGAGGGAATTGTTCGTTCCCAGTTCATATGTGAGCGTCGATTTCGCGGTCCGCTGCACCGCGTGAGTGGTTTGTCTGCCGTTTAAACGATCCCCGGCCGTGGTCATAGCGATGGGTTCTCGATATCTCGCAAATTCATTCAAATCCTGACCGATGCTGCCACTACGATACTGCCACTACGATACTGCCACTACGATACTGCCAATCGCATTTATCTATTTCGAAAAGGCGAAAAAAGTGACAACGTACTTTGCAACTACGGTCGCAACAAGAAGAGTAGATATGTTAGGAGCAAAGCGAATAAAAGATGGATCTTGGAAAGATTTATCCCAGCAAGGAACGCATTACCACAGCTTCCAAAGGTTGTGACGTCAAGGCTAAAGCGTCACACCTGTTGCTTCGGCTCGTAGCATCAGATCGAAGACCTCGGCTTCGTCGAGATACCATAAAATGGAATTTCATAAAGTGGAACCATTTAGAGTTTGCACGAGCCTTCGGTTAGATTTAGATTTTCTTTTCCTTTTTCTTTTCCTTTTTCTTTTTCTTTTTTCACAATTTTTGCAATGCAACAAAATGAAAAAAAAAACAAAAACAAAAACAAAAAATACAAACCGGCAACTTTCTCCGAAGCAACAAACTATGCGTAAAGTAAAGTATCTATGTTAATAAGTTGGATGGATTTGATCGCAGTAGGTGGATATGCTTGTTCGAATCCATCATTACTCTTGTATACTGCTCCGTAGTACGGCGCGGCGTAGCAGCCTTCCCTTGGACGGGGCAAAAAATTCTGATGCCGGATCAGCGTGGGGTCCAGACCCCAGCACTCTAACAATCCGAATACCGTGGATCAAATCAAGAGTTTCCACGGACAAACGATTATTTAGTTGGTAAGAAGTATCGCGCCTCGGAAAAGAAAGCAAATCGGCATTAGCCCGAGCCACATTAGTGCCGAGCAACTCTGTGTACGTAGTAGGTAGCTGGTATAACCGCGAAAGGAATTACCGTCGGTCGTACTCGGTAATCTATTCTTTCTAAGCAATATATCCATTATTTGCCGCAGCCAGAATCGGGGATTGACGCGCGAAAGCTTCTCTATAGCGAATTCTCTTCCGTCTTTCGAATAGAATAGAAACTGGAAAAGGAATGCATAATGGATGCGACATAGGTATATATATATATAGATATATATACCTGAATAAACGGGTACACAATTTTACACCTTTAGGTGAGTTTAGAAGAGGCATCACCGTTCATTCCATTAACTTAAATCCGTCCACATCGAAGAGATAAAAATCAAAGAGGAAAGACAAACTTGACTCCCCCGCGACTCGATTCATCCTATCCTTCGTCAAAGTATCATTTCCTTTTACGAGCGAGATCGCAAACTGCTCGTACCATAGCACCTCCGCGTGGAGACCGCATACGAAGCATGCGCGCTGCTTATAACTAGAAGGCAAGGTGGCTCGGAGCAGGTTTTCGACTTGATATCATTTGTATCTCTCGCGGGCACGACCCAAGGGTCTCTCTCTCTCTCTCTCTCCCTGCCTTCCTCCCTCCCTCCCTCCCTTTCTCTCTCAACGTTGCCTTCTCCGTTGCTCGCTTCGGCCTCCCCTCCGTCTTATCCGGACGGATCGTCTACCCCTAATATTTATTTCGCATAAGCTCACCACTGATTTCATTCGGATACCACGTGCTTGCGCTCCCGCTCACGCTCCCGCTCCCGCTTGCGTCGCGATCTTGGGAGGAGAACCACCAGCGGCTAGCTAAACGATCCTCTTATCTGCGATAGAAGCTCGAGTAACTTTACACCTTTAGCTTTGCGGATACGTGCTAACCGATTTGTCATTAATCCCTGGCAACTTGTACTACTCGCTTCGCGTGCATACACACCTACGTGCAAACGAAGCGAATCGACGCAGTGTCGTCGACAATTGGACACGCTCCTCCTTTGGACCTTTTAAACTAGACCGTCAAATGTATACTTTGGTACTTATTTACTATTACAATTACAACTTTGATCGATCCTGTTGCTTCCTGTTATATTTCTGCTACTCGTATATCGTTAGAAATTAAATAGGAGACTCGAGACGAAACAAAGAAGAAGAATAAGAAGAATTTGATCGCGCGGCCAAGAGAGAAATATATTTCTGAGGCTTTTGCGAAAGACGAAAGACGAGCAAGATGGTACGAGGGGTAACACGAGATCTTCATCTGTAACATCACAAATTGAAGGAGAATTTGTAGCGACCACTGCGTTCAACCGCAAGTAAATGCGTATCTCGATGCACATCTGCACCGTACCGATGGTAGGTACCTACGCGTATCCTCCGATTCAAATTACTCGAGGCATCCTCGAATCTGCAGCGGTTTCCAGCTCCCGTTCCATCCTAACAATCCATCGAACGATGATAAAAGATTATTCCTAGGGGAAGCGCGTGAGCTCTCTTTTATAATACATTAATGTTATTATTATATATATATATATATATTGTTCAAATGCATACGTGTAGATGCGTGCACACGTGCACCAAGGAAGATATGAAAGAATGCGATCGAGAGAGAAAAGTCGGCATGCACGTACGAGTGTACCTGCTACCACCGTGAAAGAATCCCTGGATGGAACGTCGTAGTACGCGATTCGTCTCGAGGGCGTGATTCTATTTCAATATCCTTTCACCTGTGCTTCTTAACGTTCACGTAGCTTACCAAGTAG